CTAGGGCTTTTTAGTTGAATCTGTTAGCCAAACTCATACATCTCCTTAATTAGGTTTGTTCTTTAATTTTTATATTAAAATGTTTCTGATAGTGTGTATTATGTTTGATATATGTCTGTTTTGTTTCAGGGAGAAGTGAAGTAGGCTGTTGAACTTATCGGCGACATCCATTGTCACACCCCGCTAAAGTGGAAACACGAGGCGTGGCAGTATAAAGGGTTACATAGCAAAAGTTAAAAGACCACACCAACCATAGTATTAAAAATCATTACAATTTTACAATGGGTTTGAACAAATCTTAAAAGAAATTACAATGTAAATTGAAATACAACACATGCGAATGCTCCTAAAAGTGAAGTGTCCCTAAGTGCGACTTACTCGATGATTCCTGAAAAAGCATGTAAAACGAGCGTCAACTATAAAGATAGTTGGTGAGTACTCACAGATAAACAAAATAATATTGGTTCCATGAATTGAAATCAAAGTTTTGATAAAAGCTTCCAATAATAAAAGTATATTGTTAAAATGAGTAAATAAGTTTGTAAAAAAAAACAAAGTTTTTTGTCATCATGAGAGATAAAGTATGTTGCCTAAATGAGATGCAACAACATTCATATTCTCATGGAAGATAAAGTTCGTTACTCAAACGAGTAAACAAGTTTCATTGCTAAAATGAGCAATCAATTTCGTTGCTACAAGGAGCAAACAATTTCATTGCTAAAACATGTATATAAGTTTCTAGTAATAAGAGTTCGTTGTTATAATGAGATACAAAGTTGATTGCTATAATTGATAAACGAGTTTATTACCATAATAAATAAAAAGTTTGTATGTGTATGAGCAAACAATGAGTTCTCAACCAAGCCTATGACTGAAGCCCTATCAAGATCTATACTTATCGTTCCATAGATTATATGGTATCATGCACTCCAGCAATCGGGCGAATGAGGAGTTGTCAATTCCTAATAGCGCTATCCACAATGACCATTGGCTCAAAGAGTTAATGGTTAGAGAAAAGTGTAAGGGAAGGGCCTTAAGACGATAAGTTCTCGTGTCCGTGTTGCATAAACATACACACACACACACACACACACACACACATATATATATATATATATATATATATATATAGCAATAAAATATCAATCATGTTAGATACAAATCAATTTAGATACAACGAACAAATAATAGTTTTCCGGGACATGCTTTTCCACCCCAAAACATAAAAACTGAAAAAAGGGGAGTGTGTCAATACTCACAATGCATTGAGATGATGCAAATGGTGCCTTGACTACGCTCCACTTGTACCACTATCGATTCCTATAATAATGGTATTCGCTAGTGAGTCTCTAATCGAAATCTAACACTAGTATACTAACTACTACAATAGAATTATGCCAATAATGTGTCAAACTTTATTATTGATAAGTTACAAACATTTTTCTGTGAAAATTAAATTTCAATGAATCAATTGTTATATAACAATTTAAGTGGAAATTTCCCATTATTGAAATGCTAATATTTAACATTTTAAGAGGTGTTCCAATAATTAAATATTCAAGATCTAAATCAATATAGTTCTAGAATTCCCCAAAGTTTGCATTTCAGTTTTAATTAAAGTCAAGGACCTTAAGATAAATTTTCTTGGATTTTTGATTTGTCGGGCTATTTTTCACGATTTTAGTTTCTTGAATAACCATAAAATCATAACAAAATACTAAACAGTTAATAAATATACAAATTGTTTCTAAACTGTTTAACCCAATTTTATGATTTTTATGCATTTATTCTAACAATAAAAGGTATAAATAGAAAACAGTTTCCAAAATTACTCAAACTTTTTATAATACTGTTGTTAGACATTCTTAACTTGGGAAAAATATAAAAATGAATTTCTAAATTGTTTATCAAAATTTTATGATTTTTGTGCATTTATTCTAATAAAAATGGGGATAAATAGAAAATAGTTTCCAAAATTAACCAAACTTTTTATAATGTTGTTGTTAGACATTCTTAACCTGGGAAAAATATAAAAAAAATGGATTTCTAAACTGTTTATCCAATTTTTATGGTTTTTGTACATTTATTCTAATAAAAATTGAAATAAATAGAAACCAGATTCTAAAATTACCCAAAAAAATTTTAACACTTCTATTATAAATGTAGAAGCTGAGAAAAATATAAAAGATATTTTTCAATTAGTCTTTCTATTTTTCTTTGTTTTATCCTCTTAAATGATCATTAATTGGAGAATAATTATTAAACAGTTAAAGTAAATTACCAAAATTTTGTAAAGCTCATTTACAGTGTAAATAATCTGGTAAAAATCCCAAAGGTGATTTGATCTACTGAAATCCAATTTTGTGGATTTAAATGTATTTAATATTAGAAAATAGGAGAAAAATAGTATACAGAAGGGCAAAATCATCAAAAGTTTTATGTAGCATCCCAATGTACTACAATGTGTTCTGGTAAATTTTCATAAATTTTCGATGAGAAAAACTATTTTTCCTGTTTTTAGTCCATTATAAATACAAAAATTGGAGAAAAATAGGAATGTATTATGAAAAATTCTGAAAATATTTTTCTAAGTCTTCCACAGATAGTATAAGTTGTGAAAATTATTATATACCCGTTTCAAAGTATCTAAAGTGGTTTTATGATTTATTGGATCTAAACAAAAAGAAAATTCAAAACCACAATAAATAGTAACAAAATTGATGAAACTTAATGAGAGGTCATTAGTTATCATAGGGGTAATCCACAAATTTAACTAGGATTTATAGACCTCAGAAAGTATTTTATATGATTTACTACCCTATTTTATTTCAATAATTATAATAATTCAAAAACAAATGAATTATTTTCTGAAAATTTGTTGAACATCTCATTTTGTTGATGGAAATCTGGAAAAAATTGGATTTGGTCAGAAACAGAGTTTTAGATATTTATTTGGAAATAAATCCTTCATGAACATATTTGAATGCTTTTAACAACATACTTTGATGATCTAGCATCTAAGCTTGAAGATCATGACATGCATGTTTGTTTGAAGAACATTCATGAGTTTGAAATGTTCAAAAATCATTTTTGATAGAAAACTTTGGATGCATGTGGTGTTTTTCACCCAAAACTTGTAGAAAAAGTGCATTATGTTGATTTCGACTTAAGTTTCGGTCCTTGGATTTCACCATTTACAACATGCATGTTGTTATTGGGTGAAATCCTACCACCATCATCATCAAAACCATGAGTTTGAGCAAGTGTTCATGATTTTACCATAGAATGGAGTAGAAGATGGAGAAAATCCATGAAAACAAGTAAAACTTGAAGGAAAAGAGAAGGAGATTGAAGGATTTTCGGGTTTACCTTTAAGAACACTCCTAGATGATGAACATTTCAAGTTTAAGGAGTGTTTTTGGGTCCTATTCTCTGGAATTTTCGTGATTTAGAGGGTGGTGAAGAGAGAGAGAGAGAGTGAAGTTGATGATAGAGAGTGTGAGAGAGTGTGAAGGAGAAAGGAAATGAGTTAATGTGTTGGAAAGGGTTCTATTGGGAGGAGGGGCCGATTTTTGAGAGAGAATCCCTCTCTATTTCATTTAATTTAAATAAATTCACTCTAAACTTTATAAAGTTTTCAATATTTTTATAAAAGTTGCATTTGTCTAGTTTTAATTTATAAAAATCTATGATTTTTTTACCTTATAAATTAGGGATAAATGTTAATGACTTCAATTTTTATTTTTATTGATTATATTTTCATAATAATTATAATGATAAGATAATATTATTAGGTTCACAATTATTTTTATAGATTTTTTTAAGGTTAAAGTTTATAAATATGAGTTTTTATGGTTTTTAGGGTCTTGAGATTTAATAAATATTTGGATATCAAATTCAATAGAATCTTGAGACTTCAATTTATCTTATTGTATTATAACTCTTTTATAGTTATAAATAATGTTTGTAATTTATTTTTATCGGTTTATTGTCATTTTATGTAGTGATTCCGAGATTCAAGCGAAATTGAGGAATCAAGTATACTAGTCTTAGTCTTCAACTTTGACTTAAGTTTCTATGAGACTTTGACCTAATTTCTACTTCTAGTTCAAGTGCATGATGTGTGTATATGATTTATGAAATGGTGTTCGAGTCAAAGAGTGACCCGAATATTGATAGCCTCTACAGTTAAGCAGTAGTAAAATTCACATACCAATGTGAAATCCAAGCATATTATCCATTGTGTCTAATTGTTTCCAAGTTTCTAATAGGTTATATCTTAACTTCTAGTTACTAAGTCTAGTATGTGATGTGCCTATATGTGCAACTAAGTTTATTCAAATCTAGAACATACTCGAATTTTGACGGTTGTCACATCCATTCTAGTAACTAGGTTTTTGTTCTTGCATCTTTATCTCCATGTCTAGATTCTTTTCACATTTGTTTTATTTATTCTTAATAAAGCTTTTGTATTTATGTATCTTGCAGGAGCATACTAGATGTAAAATATTGATGTATTTATACTAGATGTAAAATATTGATGTGTTTGAGCAGAAGACTTGGAAGCATCCTGGAGCAGATATAACAGACTATTTAAATTTTTGGTTGAACGAATATAGTTGGAAGCTTTATTGCAACCAAGTGGTAAATATAATTCTTCAATAAAGTGTTTATCTTTTTATATCCTAAAAGATGTTTTTTTTTTGTTGTTGTTGAGGTTCTTATAATTGTTGTTTCATAACCTCTAATGGAGGAAAATTATGTCATGTTATTGGCAGGATGAATATCGTCATAGAGGACCAATGTCAAGTGGGAGGAGTCCAGTGTCACAGTTTACACAATCAATATAGGTGAGTTGGAGAAGGTGTACTAGACATTATTTTGATGATGAGGATTAGAAGGTCATTTATGTCTTTTCCCCCATTGACATCAGTTCCAGTCGTAGATCAATTCACATTACTTATAAATTCATGGTTGTTTACTGCATAATTATTGTTTCAGATGAAAGGAAGGACAATTCAGGTAGAAGAAAACATTGTTGAATGACAATCATCCATGGATATAAGGCGTCAACTGGATCGTGATTCAGAAGTTATACAAGTATGGATTTTCTTACCTATTTGTTGATTGAGGTTTTGTAGTAGCTATATTACATACATCTCTTGTTTCATTAATAATGACATGATTGTATCAGATCACCATTGTAGATCCAGGGGAACATTGTTGTGAGTCTGTAAAAGAAGGGTCGGATAATCTTGAGAGTTCTATTCCAGAAGCATCTACTCATGGAGATGTTAGTGGGGATGATAAAACAAATCATCTTTCTTTTAGTAGTTCAAGTGAAGATGAATCGTTTGAAGGGAATTATTTGGAGACTAATATAGATGCCCTTAAAAGGTGAGATCAATAACCTCATGCTATTTGTGATTTTGTGTCAACCTTAATTTAGTTTTTTATAATTAAAGTTTTCTTTTATATGTGTTTTGGGATTCTAATGGAAGGAGTAGAAGTAAGCCTGCGAAACAAGATTCTAAAAATCATGAAATCCATCAATGTTCAGGAGGAACTGATGAAGCAATCAAAACTTTAGACAACACAAAGGAAAGAACCGGTGAGGATACATGCAACATAGACCTATCCATAATGCCTGCAGAATCATCAGAGGCTGAAAAGATCCCTAAAAACCATTGCAAATCATTTGAAGATATGTGGAAATCTTATAGTCATGAGGTGTTCATCTACTGAGTTGAATCAATCACAGAAGCCTGGTTGTCATCATTCAGAAGGCTTGAAAATATCAGATAAGTATCATAGATATCATTCAAGATACCATAGTCCTGTATATAACAATAGGACCTATAAAGATTCTAAACCCAAATATCACCATGAAAATGATGACATCATCTTCTCAAGAAGATGAGATGAAGAAAGAAAACATGGGGAGAAAAGATACCATGGAAGACATAGTACTCCTGTATATAATCTGGGGAACTAATGATGACATACTATTACTATTACTGTATCAATTTAATTGTATATTTATATCAATATATGTCATTTCATATATGTGCAATACTTTTTTCATCGCATGTTTTATGGAACTACATATATATGTTGTTTCTTAGCTTTATGGTTTAGGGGGGCCTTTGGTTTGCGAGATTTGGCTGGAATCGGAATTCAATTCCATTCCAGTCCCATGTTTGGTTGCAATTTGAAAATTAATTAACTTCCCATCCCAAAACGATGGAATTCAATTCCAAGGATTTTCCTTCAAGCTAAAAACATTTAAATTCACAAGTAAACACATGTTGCTTCTTAATCTGCTTTCACTCTTCTACCCCACAAATGGAATGGAATTCAATAACAATTAAGTACTTTTTGAATCTTTATTTATATTTAAATGTTTTTCATTTATTGTAAATGTATATACGATGAAGATATTTTGGTGTAGTAATAGAAAGAGAAGAATGGAATTGAATTCCTTACGTCCTCCTCCACGGATGGTGATGCCAAAGGGAAAAAAAGATTGTTGATTCATACCTTTTTAAATGTGAAGAGAGATTTAGGCATTTCAAATGAAATGATTTCTATTTTCACTAGGTATTTTGTTTATAGAAATTTTATTGAAATTAGGTTTTATATTTTAGCGTCTAATCTTATTAATTTTAATAAATAATTT